TGAGAATAATGAAAAAAAGAATTAAATCGAAAATCCTTAAACGAATTGAGCAATTAAAACAGCAAGGAAAACTGCACGGCATCACCCTTCGTGCTTTTACTCTCAACCTCACCAAATAAATAAATAAAACGGCACGACATCACCCTTCGTAGATTAAACCTCTCATAATATACAAGGCATCACCCTTCGTGCTTTAAACCTCTCATAATATACACGGCATCACCCTTCATGCTTTACACTCTTCCTCACAATATAAATAATGCATGCACGGCATCACCCTTCGTGCTTTACACTCCTCCTCACCAATCACAAAATCAACAACAACGGATAGATAAGAGAATCACAAAGAAACCAGTATTTTACCTATAATCAATAGCACAATGTAATCTCAACCTTGAATCAATATTCGAAAATTACCAAATCTCAGTGAAACCAGATATGGGTCACCCAACATTTCAAATAACCCGCTAAGCATGGATAGTAGAATTTAAGGCTACAAAATAGATAAGAATAGGATTTCACTCGCATGCTATGACTCGACAACGACGCATAGATACTCGTCACCTCACCTATACATAACAACAATTAACTAAGATGAAATATAATAAGTATGGAATATTATAAAACTGTATTAATTACTACCACCCGGATCTGGAGTCACAATTCACGAGCATTCTAGAATTTACTACAAGTAATAGTCTGAAAGAAATAAAACTGTCTGAATGAAAGAAAACAGTAGGACATAAAAGATAGACGGGGACTTCAAGGTCTGTGAACGCCAACAGATCTACCTTGAGTCTCTAGACAGCGGACCAATAGCAAATCTCGATCAACCTAAGCCGGTATCAAAATCTGCACAGAAAGTGCAAAGTGCAGCATTAGTACAACCGACCCCATGTAGTAGTAAGTGTCGAGCCTAACCTCGGTGAAGTAGTGACGAGGCTAGGACAAGACACCCACATATAACCTGAATAATATAATCATGCTAGTGGCAACAACAGTAAATAAAGAAATAACATAGAAATAATGGGAATGGAACATATAACGGGGGAATATAACATAAAGAGTGAGATTAATGAAAAGACAGAATTAAATCGAAAATTCTTAAACGAATTGAGCAATTAAAACAGCAAAAAAAATTGCACGGTATTATCCTTCGTGCTTTTACTCTCAACCTCACCAAATAAATAAATAGAACGACACGACATCACCCTTCGTGCATTAAACCTCTCATAATATATACGGCATCACCCTTCGTGCTTTAAAACTCTCATAATGTACACGGCATCACCTTTCGTGCTTTACACTCTTCCTCACAATATAAATAATGCATGCACGACATCACCCTTCGTGCTTTACACTCCTCCTCACCAATCACAGAATCAATAACAACGGATAGATAAAAGAATCAAAAAGAAACCAGTATTTTACCCATAATCAATAGCACAATGTAATCTCAATCTTGAATCAATATTCAAAAATTACCAAATCTCAGTGAAACCAGATATGAGTCACCCAACATTTTAAATAACCCGCTAAGCATGGATAGTAGAATTTAAGGCTACAAAATAGACAAGAATATGATTTCACTCGCATGCTATGATTCGACAACGACGCATAGATGCTCGTCACCTCACCTATACATCGTATTTAACAACCAAACACGTAGCAAATGAATACATAATACCTATTCCTTCAAGCCAAAGTTAGACACGACACTTACCTTGCTCCGAAGGCCACTTAATTCTCAATCACAGCTTTTCCTTTGAAATTCACCTCCAAACCACTTGTATCTATTCAAAAATGACTCAACAATATCAAATATTGCTAAAGGAATCAATTATATTTCATAAATTAAATTTCCCAAATTTTTCTCTAAAAAGTCGAAAAATCAACCCCGGGCCCGCTTGGTCAAAACCCGAGATTCAGACCAAAATTCTTTTACCCATTCACCCCGAGCCCGAATATGTAATTAGTTTTGAAATCCGACCTCAAATTGGGGTCTAAATCCTCAAATTTCCGAAATCCCTAGTTAATACCCTAACCTCTAATTCTACCGTGAAAACTCTAGATTTTAGGTTAATAATTCATAAAATGTAATGGATAATTGAAAGAAAATAGGTTAGAATCACTTAACAACACTTTGGGGAAGAAAATAACTCTTGAAAATCATCTCTACCCGTTTGGTTCTTGAAACATGTTGAACAAAATGGCTTAAACCCGTGTTTGGAGTCTATTTTAAGTCATTGGACATGCCTTCATTGCGTTCGTGAGAGGCCTGTCGCAATCGCGATGCACATCGGCCTAAGGCCGTCGCGTTCGCGAGTCTTTCTACGCGTTCGCGTAAGGTAGCTCCCCCCAAGCCTTCGCGTTCGCGACCCAGTGGACGCGTTCGCGTAGAAGAACATGCCCCATCCCCCATGTCCCTTAAACTATCACGTTCGCGTGAGACAGATCGCGTTCGCGAAGGGTACCACTCCCAACGCTTTGCGTTCGCGACCAGTCCTTCGCGTTCGCGAAGAAGAAAGTTCCCCTGCTCCTATTTTACCTTTCGCGTTCGCGACACTACCTACGCGAACGCGAAGAAGGGCACACCAGAACAGTTGCTGCAGCAAAAATCTTAGATTTTCTAAGTGCAAATCACCCCGTAGACTATCCGAAACTCACCCGAGCACTCGGGGCTCCAAACCAAACATGCACACAAGTCTAAAAATATCATACGGACCTGCTCGATCAAATCGCCAAAATAACACCTAGAACTACGAATTTAGCACCAAATCAAATGAAAATCTCAAGAACACTTATAAAATTTCTATTTTCTCAACTGGACGTCCGAATCACGTCAAATCAACTCCGTTTCTCACCAAATTTTACCAACAAGTCTTAAATATCATAATGAACCTGTACCGAGCTCCGAAACCAAAATACAGACTCGATACTAACAATTCCAAATACCAATTAATTCTTAAAAACAAATAATTTTCAAACTTTTAATTTTCATAAAAAATTTATAACTCAAGCTAGGGACTTCCGAATTCGATTCCGGGCATACGCCCAGGTCCCATAATTCGATACGGACCTACCGGGATCGTCAAAGCACGGATCCGGGCCCGTTTACCAAAAATGTTGACCGAAGTCAACTAAAATTAACTTTTAAGGAATAAATTCTTATTTTCATTAGTTTTCAACATTAATGTTTTCCGGAAACCTATCCGGACTGCGCATGCAAATCGAGAAGGGTAAAATGAGATTTTTAAGGCTTAAGAGCGCATATTCGATTTCTAAAGTATAAGATAACCTTTTGGGTCATCATAGTAGTTTGTCGAGAGCGATAATTAAACTCTGGGGAGAGAAATTCAATGCTAGAATTACTCAACAAGATTTCGATCTAACAAATCAATTAGACTAATATGAACAACAAAGTTCAAGAAGAAAGCAAAAATATTAACAATACAACCAACAATACCTATTCCCGGAAAACTACGAACTGCAAAATAAAGGAAGCCCAAAAATAAAAGTTTTACAGAGCTAGTGCACGTTATTCCCACAATCGAACAATTCAAATATGAAAACATAATCAAAAGTTCGAAATGAGAACAGGAGAAGGCAAATAGATGGAACTCTCAAATGAAAAAGGTAGAAGTAAAAAGTAGGCGATACGGAAGAAAATGGTGCTTTACCATAGATAGAAAACCCATATAGTCGGTTTCGTTCGCAACTTTTGGAGTAGATTGTTAAGGGACCGTTCTTTGTGATAGCAGTTAAGTGGTTAGCGACTTTTGGCTTTTGTAGTAACGAGACGCGCTTTTTTTATTATTATTATTATTTTCCCTCCGATTTTGTAGAAAAACGAGAGGAAAACTAAAAAAAAAAGGGGAAAAAGGATAAATGCTTTTCCTAGACTAAGAGGGGTGTCATGTAAGCAGTATTTTCTCCTCTTTTATATAGATATATATATATATATATAGAGAGATAAATTATTAGTTAATTTCTTATATAAAAATATAGCAATCATAAACTGAAAATCAAAATTTATTTTTTCCCACGTAAAATTACATAGCCTTCTCATTCTATCTCCACTAACCAATAATCATTGCCAAATTCTTGCTTTCTATCATAACATAATCATTAATTCCTTATTCCTTAATGCTATCACCACTATTCAAACAAAAGAAATTATCAATTGAAAGGCATAATAGAGTTTAGTATACTTTATGCTTTTGCCTTCTTCCTAATTTTTGTACGGATTCCATACAGAACCCTTGGCCGCCGTCAATCTTCTTTAAGCCAACGTGTGTTCTCCTTTTTTTTTTTTTTTTTTTTCCCCCTTCTTTTTTATTAGGACCTAATTTACTCCTTTTCCTGCACCTTCAGTCTTTGTACATGGGCCAATAAGGATAATATATGGGTTTAGCCCATTACTTTATCATTATTTATTGTCTCAATTATTTTATTATCCAACTTAATACGTGTAATAGTTAATTAGTTTTACTAACCATTTAATAAATTTCAAACTCATAAATTAATAAGTATGTATTTTTTTTCCGGTTATTACACATTCATACATGTCCTCTGTGATGTTTATATGTTTAATATTAGTATAATTTTTTTCCTTTTCTATCACTCACCAAAGGACCTTCCATGGTACTTTATATGTTTTCTCTAGGTCAATGAAAACTCTAGGATTAATACATGAAAAAAAATATTATTGTTAGAAAATAAAGAAGACTCTAACTCTCCGCTTTCATGTGCTATATCAGGTCAAAGAGGACCCATATTAATTTTCATTCTATCATTAATGCCTCATTCAAATTGACACAAGGAGGGAAAATATTCTCTCGTCCACTTTTTCTTTTATCTCTATTCTTTTAGTTCTCATCCTTTTTTTTGTTCTTCCGTAATTTTAAACGAAATATCGCTCCTACATTTTACACTATTCTTCTTTTCTTCTTTTTATTTAAACAAACAAAAAAAATTTGAAAGTGAAGCATTTCATAGGACATAAATAAATCAAAGAGAAAGGGAATATGCGGGTGACACCAACTTCAATATCTAACAGTTGTCGCTAGACGCCACCTACTCATTGTTTCGTTTGCGCAACTTTCTATACACTTCTTTCTCCGCCCATCACCGTCGCTCAGTATCAACCCCTCTCGTTCCATCGAACAAAATCAAAATCCGTATCCCCAAAATGGCAGGTAACATTCAAGTACTCCGCTGATTATTGTAATGATTTGAAATTGCTGGTATTTTCTATTGAGGACATTTTGATTGTCTACAGTTGTGCTCTGAATTTTGTCGATTCTGATAAAATAGCATCAGAGAGCTAGTCTAATTTAGTAAATCTATGGCTCAGTAATGGATTGTTTCAGCAGAAATCAATACAAAATTAACAATGCATGTCGTTCACTTGTTCCTGCTTCTGTTCGTTAACAATACTTATCGTAACCTCACATCAATGATACAAAAACACCACTTAATAAGAAACTGTATTTTTTTTAAAAAAAAAAATAGAAGAAGAAGAAGAGAATTTGATAAGATTACATGGAGAAGATGCGGCGTTGTAAGGGCCAGGGAGGGATGGGAGCTCTAAGCAAGGGTAGATGTAGGCTTTAAGATGGCGAACCCAGTAGCTTAAGCACGGACTCTGTATGTGTTTAAGAAGTTCACTAAATATCTACAAAAATTAAATTCAAAACCCTGGTACTAGCACTTGAGGTCACTGTCCTAGAATCCTGAACTCATAAAGGTCAAATCTTGGATGCGCCTCTGACCCTTAGCGGGTTGCGCAAGACTCAAAATTTTCAGTGTTACGGTTATTGTTCTTTGTTATCCCTAGTTACTTTCTTTTTAGTGTCCTTTATTCCTTTTGTTCACACATAATACTGGACGTCAACTAGTATTTATTAATGAATAGAAATTCTGCTCTTCTTCTTCAAATAATAGATGAGCACATGTAAAGGAAAACAGAATATATTACTTGATGATAATCTGGAATAATTGTGTGCGGCCCATTAGCGTGGTAGAAATCACGTTGGGGCAACCTACGCGACTATAGCCGCTGAAGTCTTCCCTCACCCTACACCCCTCCCGATGTAATCTTGTTTTAGGCTTTGTTTTCCATGTTCAATTAAATAGTGGAAAATAGAAAACTTCGTAGTTGAACGTAGAAGTTCAATGGTCCTTGCTGCCTTTCAAGGTACATGCCTGCTTCTATCCGTTTAAGCTCGAGAAAATCACCTTATAGCAGAGCACCAGTTCCGTGGTTAAGTTGTTACATAAGAGAAACTGAGTCTTTGAAGCATTAATCATTTATTGATTCAACAGTATACAATGAATCTCAATGGTTCGGCAAAATTCAAGTGTTGTGTCTCCGATATCTTCATTGGATATTGTTATACATCTTATATTTTCCTGGGTAACTGCTTTTAAAAGTATTTACTTTTCCCTTTAGTTCCGTCTCCTGCTTCTGCGTTTGGTTAGTGAAGTATTGTCTGCTTGCTGCTTGACTGACTAAATAGTAAACTTGGATAGAAATTTTCTTGGTCGACTCTTTAACTTTTCTTTTCTATTTTACTGGATAAACTAGGTTATAGCAATAGGTGTAGATATGACTATATGAGTATGTCCAGGTAACAATGGAATTAGTCTGAAATATTTGGGCAATTGGAGAAAGATAAAGCATATCAAGACATGATGGTGTAGGATCAAGCTGACTCAGGATTTTATAGACCATGCACCCCTAATCAAGAAACAAGCAAATGTAATAGCAAAATGTTGAAAAATTGTGAATTATTCATTGAGACCTTGCCAATCGCAACTTTGATAATACTTGAAATCTTTAATCATGCAGCAATATCAGGGAAGGTTGTCCAACATAATCTGGTAGCTAAGTGCTGCCAGCAGAATAGGGAATTGAGCACCAAATACCAACTGCACTATTGTACCCTTAATAGGCGCAATTTGCTTCCTCCTGTAGGAGGGAAGTTGGCATGGAATGGCATCTCCACCATGCAACTGGGCGCCTTATCAAAATTTAAGCGAGGAGTTATTTATTGCAATGGTCTGTTCTAGACTCTTACTATTCAGGTTGATCTCAGATTTGACCATAACTTTCCAGAGAATAGTTGGAATACCTAATTGTTCAGTTACTCCCTTTTCTGTGATTTTTTTTACCCCTCCTCAGGAGCTCCCTACTTTTCTCCTTGGTGACTCAAACCCGCAACCTCAGGGTTGGAGGTGGAGGGTGCTTACGACTTGAGCAACCCTCTCTTTTCTTGTGTGCTTGTTTTTGTTCTTAAATTGGTGATCTTTTGTTTTTTCCATGACAGATGTCTACCTTTCCTAGCTATCATTAACATTTGTTTTTGATAAGTCATAGCTATGATTAATCTCTTTGACTGCATAGTAAGCAAACCTCTCATATATCCGAAATAATGCTAACACTTGGACCTTGGTGCAGCTGCCTCATCGGCCACTGCAATTCCGTCTGTTGAGAAAAACGACTTTCTTAAGCTTCAGAATGGCAGGTAACTGGTTCTTGCAAATAATACTTGTCATCTTTTTTAGGTGGATAGTTTGTCATGCATCTGCTTCTTTTAATATGTTCCAGAATTGGTTACTTGTATGCATGTAATATTCAATTGTTTTGTAATAGATCGGTGAAAAAGATAATGGACGATTTCCAGCTTGAATTTGTTATTCTATGTAGCAAATGAATTGGAAAGTCTAGAGGAAAAGGGAAGGATGCAACAACAGCTGATTCTCCTTTTTTTTTTTTGCTTCTACGCAGCCTGGTGTTTCAATTAGCAAAAAAGTTATTATATGATCTGCAAGCAGTGAATCTCTTATTCTATAAAAGCAAGTGAATTGGTGATTGTAGAGGAAAAAGAGAGAAGAATTCAAAGAACAGCTGATCTTTCTTTTTTGCTTGATTTGTTTGATAGCCTGTTGTTTCAGTGTTGATACATCTGTTATGTTTAGTAGAGAATCAGACCATGTATAGCTAATTATTTTCATAATCTCAGTGCAGGTAAAAGTTTTTGCTAACTGAAGTTTCTTCATTCTAAAGCTTTTTTATCTGTAAAACTGGTAACTTTAGTAGAACAAAACTTGAAAGAATTAATTTGAAGAATGCTTGTGTAGACATGCATTTAAGTAAATGTGAATTCCTATTGATCTTAGCTCCTTGTGGGCGACTTTAGTATTAGCTTTTCTATAAATATCCAATTTTTCTTTGGTTTTATTATTTGACTGTAAGTCTTCAAGGTTTGCATGCTATATGGAGTTCAACTTGTTTGCCATTTGTTAATTAAACAGAAGCATAATACAATAGAGTCTGTTTGAGAACTTAAACTATGCTTTCATTTAGTATCATCTTTAATATAGAATACATCTAGGATGACCTGTGATGCAAGACCATGGATACCCATCCATTTATGATGTAACTAACAAACAGTTACTCATAAGTTCCAAGATGATATATTCTTCTGTATTTATGCAGTGATATACGTGGAGTAGCCGTTGATGGAGTTGAGGGAGAACCTCTTACTCTCACGGAGCCAGTTACAGAAGCAATAGCAGCAGGTTTTGCTGGCTGGTTGAGAAAGAAATATGATTCTTCTAAATGTCTAAGAGTCTCCATCGGTCATGACTCACGAATTTCTGCGCGGAAGTTACAGGTATTTATCCTATATTAGAAAGTTAAGCTGTATACCCTTTCTTAATCATGTAATTTCAAATATTATGAAAGGAGAACATTTCCTTCTTGCTTTTTGGTAGCCTGAGTTGCTATAGGTAATAGCATTGTGGTTTTTCTTGGATGCAGCTAATATTTCTTAGCATAACAGGTAGAGCCTCGCAGCAGTACTACTTTTCCAATTGATACAATTCATTACTTATATTTTAGATTCCTAGGAAAGGCATGCTAGCTTTGAAGTGACCAGGAAGCTAGTATGTCTTCTGGTACTTCTTTTTTAACAAGTATAACAATGATAAAGCTCACTGAAAGATAAAGCTCACTGAAAAGGACATTAGGGTCTCACTATGGTGATCTGTGACTCCTTGTTGAAATCCTGCCACCATCACTGTGTGTGGTCTCTTCATATCCAGGATAAGCATTCACATTGAATGGGGTGGGATTCTGCTTATTCAGGGGAATAAGGGTAAGCTTAGCCATTAATACTTTCTCTCTTTTTTCCTGCCATCCCATACCCTTGCATCTGTGTCCTCTTTATTAGTAGCTGATTTCAAGTTGGTCTGACTGAACTATAATTCGAGATACAGTGGGAGTTTGGGGATAAAGGCTAGACACGTAAATCTTTTCACTTCCTCATTCTGCTTGCTTTCCCATGCCCTCTCCATTGTGTCCACTTGCTAATCTAGTGAGGTTTGAACACTTAAATGGAAACAAATGTGAAGTTAGGGGGTATCTCAAGGAGAGGATGTGCCCCTCCTTCTTTGTCCTAGAGTTTGTTGGTACAATTGATAACTAAAAGGAAAACAATGACCTTTTACACTTTTAAACAACATATGACTGAGAATAACAGTAATTAAATAAATTCAACAGCCGAAAACTGGTATTGTACTTAGTCTCCTCTCCTATCCTGTCCTCTCTTTCATTGAAAAGAGTCATGTCAACTTTGGTACCCACTTTTCAACATTTTGGGTATCAATTGGTGCATGACAAGATCTATTTTAGAATTTCTGCATGCATGGCAAATGGAAGGCGTTGCATTGAAAAGAGTCATGTCAACTTTGGTACCCGCTTTTCAACATTTTGGGTATCAATTGGTGCATGACAAGATCTATTTTAGAATTTCTGCATGCATGGCAAATGGAAGGCGTTGCATTGAAAAGAGTCATGTCAACTTTGGTACCCGCTTTTCAACATTTTGGGTATCAATTGGTGCATGACAAGATCTATTTTAGAATTTCTGCATGCATGGCAAATGGAAGGCATTGCTGAACTTTTCTTACTACTTGGAACGTGACACCTGCTGTCATATGCTGGATTATTTGGAAAAAGAAATGCTAGAATTTTTGAAGACAAGAATGATAATGTACTTAAGCTCAAAAGCAATTGCATTTTTTTTTGCTTAATTTTTGTTGCAACATGACAGTGGTAAATGTGTTAGAGCCTGATGCCATGCTTGACTTTCCCTGTTTATTACACTCCCTGCAGTGCTCATACTCTTTTGAATCTGCTCTCTTTCAAGCATTTTGCTGGGCCTGGCATATATTAATAAACTTTTTCTATAAAGTAACAAGTTTTATTAACGTTTGGGCAAAAAAGCTCCATATACAAGAGGTATACCAAAAAGTAGAAAACCTACAAAAAGATATGGTTTTCGATGAATGACACCCAATCTTCTATACATATAGGAACATTATGGGTGCACCAAATAGAAATAAGGGATAGAGGCTACTCAATTGCTACAAATTCAACTCTACACCCTCAAGCTCTCCTATTTCTTTCTTTCAAAACGACCCACACAAGTGCTAGAGGAGCAACATTCCATGCCCTGTGTCTTCTCCTTCTTCTACCACAATTCGAGCTGATTGTTACCTTTTCCACAGTGCCTGGCATCACCCACAATTTTCGAAACCATCTCATGATTTTCCACCATAACCTCGAATCTACCGGACAATGTAAGAGGAGATGGTTGCCATCTTCACCCTAGCTCTTGCCCAGAAAACGCCAACTGACATAAGCAACCTCTCTCTTCCTCAGATTCTCAGCCCAAAAAATAAAAAAGTAAAAACATAAGAAGAAGAAACCTGATAGTGGTTGTCTCCACAAGCTTATATGCATTCCTTGTTGCTTCTACATGGAAACGATTTGGAGCACCTTTCTCTTAGTTTGTTCACTTTGCTTTATTACAATGTGTAATAACTTCATCAATGTCTCGTCTTGTCTATCCTTTTAGTGACTGCAGGGGTAACATACATGCAAAGGTATTAGAAAGCCTACAGTTCACTTTGTCTCCTATTAGTGGCTCCTGTCTAAAAGAAAAAAGAGACATAAATTAAGCAAAGGGGAAAAAGAAGAAAAAAGAAAAAGAAGCACCTTTTGCTTCTTTGGAGGACTCCTAGTTACTTCTACAGGGAAAAGAATTGTAAGCTTGAGGGCATTTTCTAGTTTGTTCACTTTGGCTTAACTATGGGGTGTTAACACTTAAACCTGGCCTCTCCTTTTTCTGGTTCATAATGACAATAGGAACAAGATGCATCCAAATGTATAATGTATTAGAAGGCATGTTTATCAGTTTTATTTCCTATTAGCACTTTTTTTTAAAATTCCAAACAGGTCAAGAAAAGTGAGTGCCTTCGAGTTTTTACATCTTTTAGAACAATGTTTCATAGTTATCTGAAGTATAACCGTGATTGTTTGTATATTTCAATCACTTGCTAAAATCCATCTTACATTCTGGACAAACCCTAGGTAAAGCATCCTTCACGTCTTTAATTCTAAACAGGCGAAGAATATAATTTCTTGATGTGGACTGTTGTAGTTAAGGACTTCTTGGTGCAGTGGCATTCATACTTGTACTTTTAGTTCCTTGTTCTTTCATTCATGTGATATATATGCAGCTTTGGGCTGTGTTAAGATGAAACAGATGAATTTACCTGGAGATTTTGAAGAAAAAAAATAAAACAATCTCTTGCTGTAGATTGTTGGAGCTTTTAAGGACCTCTTGTGCAGTGGCCTTCATGGACTTGTACTTTTAGTTGGTTTTTCTTTCATTTGTGTGGTGCATATGCAGTTGTGCACTTTGTGTTAAATCAAAACAGAAGAATCCACCGGGAGATTATGGAAAAATCAAAATAGAGCAAGTTCTTGCTATAGACTATTGTTGCTGTTAAGGACTTCTTAGTGCGGTGACATTCATTCTCTTGTACTTTTAGTGCATTATTCTTTCATTCACGAGGTACATTGCAGTTGTACACATGTTCTGCTGTTGATTAAGGCTTGGATTGCTATCTTTCAGGATGCTGTTTCTCAAGGACTTGCTAGAGCTGGAGTTGAAGTCATCCAGTATGGGTGAGTGATGCTTTTCTTTCTGTCCTACTTGTATCTAATATGTGCAGACTACAGATTCTTTGCTCATCTAACCCAGACCTATAAAAAAGGGATTCAAATCATTTTAAGGACTGATTACCCATTTTCCATTTTCTTGTTTCTCTGAAAAATAATTATGGATATGGTTGGTTGAAATATCTTAGGTTGATTCAGATGTAACTGGATGTTTGGTCCTTCATACAGCACAATACTGAATTATGCCATCCAATTAGTCATAGCTCGATTCAAATATGTACCAAGACAACCTGCTTCATTCAGAACTCATCCTTTCTTATTTGGTTTGTGTGTGCACTTCCAATTAAGATATGTCTAGAAATGTTGTTGCAAGATTAAAGAGATTAGAGATATAGGTTTATATTATCTTTCTCTGGTTTAAATGCTTATTTGATCTAGTGCCTCCCGCTCTTCCTAAGCAGTGACTCAGACAAGTGATGGCATACCTAACAATAGCATCTTTCTTTGTTTTCCCCTATTCCCCAAGGTAGATTGGCATCCACACCAGCCATGTTCAATAGCACTCTTACAGTAGATGAAGAATTTTCCTGTCCAGTGGATGGCTCCATAATGATAACAGGTGAGTGCATGAATTCGTTCTCTAGAACGGGTTGAGATGCAAATGCAACAATGCTTCTATCCTTGGAGGTGTAGATTCTTTATACTATCTCTTACTTGCAAGTGGAGAAGGGCTGCTGCTTCTCTTGTAGCTAGCTCAGTTCACTTTGAGAGTTAATACATTTTGATATTAATGGAATTGGCTTAATGCTGGCTGGATAATTCTCTTATATGCTAATTTTGTTTGAACAGCAAGCCATCTTCCCTACAACAGGAATGGGTTCAAATTCTTTACACGTGCTGGAGGTCTTGGAAAGCCAGACATCAAAGATATCTTGGAGCGAGCTGCAGAGATATACAAAAATATTGCAAATGAATATTCTAAGGGGGCAGAAACAGCCGTTTCTCTATCTGTTAAAAGAGTGGATTACATGTCCATTTATGCCTCTAATCTTGTAGCAGCAGTCCGCAGAGCTGCAGGAAATATAGGTACTTTCTACCATGTTTCTGGATTAATGAGAATATCAATGTTTCGAGGAGAAGGATGCAAATCACAAGGATATATTTGTGATGGCTGCTCCAATCACACTGGGGATTTCCGTCTTGGTGTTGACCCGTGATTAAGAATCTCTTTTTAAAGAGTTTCACGAACTTCCAACTAATAAAAATATCCTGACCTTCTTCAAAGCATCTACAATTGTTTCTCTGACCAAGTGTTGTTGAGGTTCTTGCTAGTGCTCATGTCATCTTTCTTTTTTTCTTTTCCTTCTTTTCACGGTGCAATTCTCAGAAAAGCCACTGGAAGGATTCCATATCGTAGTTGATGCAGGGAACGGAGCAGGGGGATTCTTTGTAGTAAGTTTTTATCCTTATAGTGTGTCTTGACAGTTTTTGCCTCCCATACACTACATTAAGACCTTCTGATCCAAGAAAAGCGCTAGCTACAACTTACAAGAAAAACCAAGAAAAAAAAGATATATGTGTGGTGTGTAGGGGTGTGGGTGTGTGTGTGTGTGTGTGTGTGTGTGTGTGTGTGTGTTGTGTTGTTAATAGGGCTGACGCTATTTCCATAACCTAACATGCTTATCCCCACTTTTTTTTTTCCTCAATTGCCACAACACCCTTACCAGAAGTTATCTTCCCCCTCCGTCGGAAGAAATAGCTCCAACTTCTTCTAATTTGATGTGAAAGTTATTGTCTGGTATCTTTGCTAGCTTCTTGTTTTGAAACTGTGATATAGAGAACCAGTTATTGGTAAAAGGCAAGGGGATAGTACTATATGATTGAAATTTTTTAAATACCTTGATGTACCAAAAGATATTGCTATACTTTCTCTTAGCCACCATGCCAACGTGATGCCCACTTTCCTTTACTCTCCATTACTTTTTAATATTATAATATACCCTGCAAAAGTTAAACGGAACTGCATATCATACTCCTAAAGTTATCAAAGTTACAGCATTATATCTTCCATTAAGTCCTCTTTCTCTGAAATGCATTGTAATTTAGCTCTATATATCTGTGCCTGCCTTTTGGGTTAAATTAAGATGGTTACATCGGAAAGGAGGGAGTATGTTTTTACTTGATACATTGTCTGTCAACTCTTGTCATTGTGTAAGGGACTAAAATGCATCAGTAGTTGTTAATTGAAGCTGCACGGTGGAGCAGGGCACTTAAGGATCATGTAAAAGCCTTTTAAGATATATCGAAGTCTGTTTATCTGCTTACTTTGTAACATAAAATATTCTCAGCGTATATCAACTTTATCTTTTTCCATTGTTTCTCTTTAGATGCTCTCTCCACTTGTGGGAATACACTGGGCTTGTTGTTGTTGTTGTTGTTGTTGTTCTCTTTAGATGCTTTGATCATTGTTTTATGTTGCTGGATGTTCAGGGAAAGGTGCTTGAGCCTCTGGGTGCTATTACTTCTGGCAGTCAGTTCTTGGAACCAGATGGTAAGATATATCCTGCAATTTTCACATAACAGATTTGTATGCTATTCTTGCTAATTTTTTTATTCTCATGCTAGGTTTGTTTCCCAATCATATACCTAACCCAGAGGATAAAACAGCCATGAAAGCTATCACCAAGGCAGTACTCGATAACAGGGCTGATTTGGGAATCATCTTTGATACAGATGTTGACAGGTGACGTGCCATATAGAAGTATTTGCTTTCAGTGGAGGTGGTCGCTGGTCAGTTTCCTTTTCTGATATGTGTTTTGGCAGGTCTGCAGCTGTGGATTCGAGTGGTCGTGAATTTAACAGAAATCGTTTGATTGCTTTAATGTCTGCAATTGTTTTGGAGGAAGTAAGTCTCTCTTTCTGACAAATGTCTTTAGAACTTTTTGCTTTAACGAGCATCTTAACTATTTGCTACTTCTGTTAACGTTTGACCAGCATCCTGGGACCACTATTGTCACAGACAGTGTTACGTCAGATGGGCTGACAACATTTATTGAAAAGAAACTAGGTTAGATGAGAAGTCAAAGTCACCTATGGATACCCTTGTGATGAGAATCATTGCTAATTTTAATGATATTATGACAGGAGGGAAGCATCATAGGTTCAAAAGAGGATACAAGAATGTAATTGATGAAGCTATTCGTCTGGTACGATTCGGTTATTTGATGCATGGTTCTTATAGTAACGTTTTCAATGGTCCCATGGTCTTTGTGAACATATTAGCATGCCCATTATAAGATGGATCTTTTCATGGTTTTATTTGGTTCCCTAGATTGTCCAACCAATTGCCTACTGTCTGAGATAGCAACATGACATCTTTGATAGAATTGTTTGGATTCTGTTTCATGTGCTTATGATGGTCATGTCATAGCTTTCTTTTATTCCCTTTTCTATGGTGAAAGAAAAACCATCTCTTCAAAACAATAGTAGTTGTAGGTTTATTTTGCTTGATCCAAATCTAGTGTCCTTCGATTTCAGATTATGCTGAATAATCTCCACTTATCCCCCAATAAAAGGAAGAAAGAAAAAGAAAAGGAAAAGAAGTCCTTTTTATTTTTCTTGAAAAGGAAACGTTGCATCCTACATAATATTCTGAATACTTTATGACTCCAGAAAGTTGTAGGAGACTGCTTGTGCTCTTTGCAAACTATTTTGCTTTTAGTGAAGAAAAAGGTGAGCTCTAATCGCTGACCTACATTTAACATCTTATTTCAAACTTTAACATTCTGTTTTTAATAGATGAATTTACTAGTTTCTACCAAGAATTTTGTGTCGTGCTAAGTCCTTTTATATAGACAAGAGTGGGCTGCTATAATGGTGAGCACCCTCCACTTCCAACCAAGAGGTTGTGAGTTCGAGTCACCCCAAGAGCAAGGTGGAGAGTTCTTGGAGGGAGGAAGCCGAGGGTCTATCGGAAACAGCCTCTCTACCCCAGGGTAGGGGTAAGGTTTGCGTACACACTACCCTCCCCAGACCCCACTAGTGGGATTATACTGGGTTGTTGTTGTTGTTGTTGCTAAGTCCTTTTATGAATTCTCCAACTACATAAACATGTGTTGATAACTTTAAGATCTCTCTAGTTTTAGGAGATACTGCTGATGTCGCCCAACTATGTCCTAAAAGGAACTAAATCATAGCTATCAAATATAATTATCCGAGCAGGGTCTTACATCCTTTGTCATGGGAGGAAAAATACATTTCATTTCAGGTGATAAGTCTTTTGAATTAATTGACATTAGTGAGGATTACAACAAATGGTTTGTTTTGATTGAGCGGGGGACAAGATTCACTAGCAGAATCAAGATCGATGAAGAGAA